AATCGACTTGAATTCCCCCAAGAGACTTCCCCTCTGCTAGATCCGAAATTAGGGACCCCCAGGACAACCAGCAATGGCACAGCGCTCCGCCTGAGTCGCTGAGGCCGAGGTCCTTCCACGCTAAGTCTCCGATTCCATTCCGGAGTCGTCCGAATCCGCCCATTCTAACAGATGCGGCTTCACAAAAAGGGGTCAATTAGAGAACAGTCTAGAAAGTTCCTTTATAGCCGAGTCATTTCTAAAGATAACCGTTCGTAATTAAGGCGGTGTAGAGCATAGCTTCAGCGCTACAAGATCCCGCTAAGATCGGCCCAAAAGACAAAGAAATGAATTACTTATTGCTGAGTCATGTCCTAAGTCCATTATTAAGCTTACACAGCCCAAGCCCCTATATCATTCTAGAACTATCTATAATACAAATGTAGCACATGTAACTAGTGCGAGGCGTGGGAGTAGAGAGGCCTCTTAAAAGCATAAAAGGCCACCGCTTCTGCTCCCTCTCAAACCTCAGGTAGAAATAAAAGTTTAATTCTCCTCACCAGTGGTTGGTTCGTTTGCTCCAAAAGATAAAAGCAAATATTAGTTGTTAGCTAATATAAAACTAACACGTCACTCTAAGCGTGAGTTAGGGTCAGTTAGACACAGCTGAACAAAAGTGTCATAGTGAGAATTTGGTGGAGGGACTTCTTAATTGAATAATCTCTCAGCAATTTTTGGTTATCACACCACAGGAGAAAAGTGAGCGATCCTGAACCTGCTGGATGACTAGCACGCACTCTAAGCGATAGAAAGAGCAGTTTGGTCACTCCTGTATTGAGTAACATTTATTTCGGAATTATTTTATTAGCAGTTTTCCTTCAGTAAATTATCAGGAAAATCACATCCTACTGAAAAGTGGTAAATATAGGTGTAATATTGACTAGAAATCATAGTAAAGTCAATATAGAATTTTATCCGTAGACGATCTATACGTCAGGTGAGATCGTTGGGGGGTGTTTATTGTTGTTTAGACAGTGAACAATCATATATTTGGCAACCAAAACACAGTCAGTACGCAAATCAGCACAAACTCTAATATCGTTATTGGACGTAGGAAACTGGTTACATAAGGTGATCCAGCTCCGCTCCTTCACCGCTTACCCACATGACTATATGTATCTTAATTACATGTGGCTTGGGGTTCGGGGCTATTGCCCTGACACATCTTGTCTGACCCCAGCCCTGGAACTGCCATAACCCTATATTTTCTATAGGTTATGTGCCCAGCCAGCCTAACGTGTTATGGAAATGGAGAATCTTATGGTCCGTGACAGGCAACCAGACCTTGAGGCCCTTTGCTATGGAAATGGGCCTAGACTCCTATAGACCAGGCACACAGGTAAGATATTTCTTACTTCTTCTCACTTCATTCTCTGCCAAACCCCATGCCAAGCTTTCCCACTGGGTTTTGGTGCTGGCTGGGGGATTTGTTGATTTCCAAGGGACTTCCTTTGGCCATTATAACATTTGTATCAGATAGATACAAGTCATATGACATGTATGGTAATTGCCGAGATATTTTCTCATTATCAAATACATAACCCACAAACCTTGTACTGCGATTGTAACATCCTCACCACCGCGTCACCACTGTAAACTCAACCTGTAACCCTGGAACCATGTCCACCTCCCTATTCATCCTCTCCATGACAAAACTGCAACGAGGAGGGCATTCCCATGCCCAACCTCCTGCTGCCTGCTCCCACCAGTCCACTGGGTGGTCGAGTGGTTACTCCCATCCTACCAGAAGTTCCCTATCAGGAACTGTAGCCAATCCCACCTCCTCAGGAGAAGGATACAGTCCAGGCAGCTCCAGGATGCCTGGCCACGCACCCATGGGCCCCACTTCCCACGGTCACCCACTACCGTGCACTGGTCCACCAGCCCGCTTTCCCCAACAACTCCCGCTACCGGCATGCTCCCATGAGCGCCAAGTCACCGATAGCCATCAACTGGGTGACTCCCTTTGGGAGTCCCAGTATCCCTCACTACCGGTACACTCCATTGAGCGCCAAGTCACTGCTAGCCAAACACTCCCAGCACACCCGCTACCGGCACGCTCCCAGGAGCGCCAAGTCCCCATTAGCAGACAGCCAGGTGGCTCCCTCAAGGAGCCCACATCATACTCGCTACCAGTATGCTCCCAGGAGCGCCAAGTTACCGTCAGCCGACACACAGGTTGTACTTCCATACACTCATCCTATTCTGCTCTCCCTCCGATGGCTATGCAGCCACCTCCATTAGTGAGCCGAACGGCTCAGGTTGGGTTCCCCGGAACCCATTCCTGTAACATAATGGCTCGCTGAAGTATCAATCAAAGTTTGCATGACCCTCACAGCAGTGGCTAAATCCTCCATTGGTCACCTTCCGGGTTTTCTGGTTCACACTATACCCACCCCCTCTTAAGTCCAGTCTGGCATCCTCCTTCAAAGTCCAGGAAGGTTGTAATTGGCACTCTCCTTTAAAGTTCAGGAAGGCAGTAAGCGGCAACCTCTTTCAAAGTCCAGGAAAGTTGTGATCGGCAACCCCCCCCCTCCGGTGTAGTATGCACCCTCCTTCAAAGTGCTTGAAGGCAGTAATAGGCAACCCCCCTTCTCATGGCTGTAAGTCCTTAGACAGGCATTGTTAGAACGGGGCGGAAACAGACGACTCCGGAGTGGAATCGGAGACTTAGCGTGGAGGGACCTTGGCCTCAGCGACTCAAGCGGAGCGCTGTGCCATTGCTGTTTGTCCATTTGGTCCTTAATTTCACAGTAGGTGAGCAGGAAGTCTCTAGGGGGCATTTCAGGTCGATTTCGGACTGAACCAAAACGAGTATGTACAAGCGCCGATATATATAATGGAGGGGGCAAAAGCACAAGGAAAACAAAGGGTACCGAATCGGAACGAAGACGTCTGAACAGGAACAAAGGGTAGAAGAAGCGGAGCAGTACCGAAGGTCATAAGGCAGGACCTGTGATACGTCCGAAAGGAGGTAGGGAGGGCGAGGCCCAGAGGGGCAGGAGGATGTGGGGAAGTGGGGATGATGACTAACTGGCTAGAATAGGAAGAAGCAGTAGTCCAAATAGGGATGAGGGGAAAACGCGAGGGATACATTACAAGCGGCAAAAGTGCCGAAGGCGATCCGCGAAGCTCGGGGGTTACGGAGCTTACGGAGGTTACGGAGGCGGGGTTGAAAGTCTGAGGGATATTGGCAATGGTGTTTACGTAGTATGAGGTCACCAATGCAATGGACTAAGACCGAGGTGGAGTCAAAGTCCGAGGTAGGGACTGTGATGGAGGCTCAGAGCAAAGGTACGAGCGGTGTCCGAGTACGAAGTACGGGACAGCGGTGGAAGGTCGTAACTTGGCGGGAGGGTGGCGGAGGAGTACCAGAGGGAGGAGAGAGGGGAAAGGTAAGGGAGAGGGAGTGGCAGAAAGGAGGAGTTGTCAGGTCCGAAGGTGAGTATCGGAGCGGATGGGGGAAGCATAGGAGGGTGACGGAAGGGTGGAGGTGTTGTGAGGGAGGAGCGGAGTAGGAGGAGGGGGAGTAGTAGGAGGGTGGCGAGAGGGGCGGCGTTCGGTCCGAGGGGAATATCGGAGCGGACGGAGATAGGGGAGGAGAGGGAAGGAGGAGCAGAGGTGGCGTGGGGGGGTAAGAGGAGGTGTGTTGCCAGGACCAGGGGTGAGTATCGGAACGGCAGCGGTAGGGTATGACTCCGGAGGTGAAGAGGGTGGGGGTCCGGAAGTCAGGTCGGGGTCGGGTATGCATGGATATGACAGGCATGCAACTTCTTATTTCCCTTTCCTCCCCATTCCTTCATTGCCACATCATCAATTTTCGTTTTTTTCCCACGGTCCAATCACGTGTGCTCAGAGGTAGCAACCCAACTTCACCTTGCACCTGGCATGGGCAGACCATCAGGACCATACCCCCACTGCCTTTCCCATGGCACACTGTGGATTCAGAGGGTGATTTTTCACACACATCAAGATTGATGCTCATATGCACATCGGACAAGTTGGACATCTGGGATCACTGAGAACACCACCTGCCAGGCATGGCATCTATTTAGATTTGGAGACAAAATCACGATTGGACAAGCACCCCCTGACCATGCATCCTTTGGATTCACCCCCTTCACATTCCTTTTTTCCACTTTTTCCATTTCAATTGTTGTTCATTCTTTTTATTCAATTCCTTCACATCAGTTTCACCATATCATGAATTCATGTTTAGATGCATGCATGTTCCTTCGTCTGAGAGGGTGTGTTGGAGGACAGCCTTGAAACATGTATTTACATATGTTTGTGCCAACAATTTTATTTAGTGGTCTACTGTCATCTTGTCCGACCCCGGCCCTGGAACTGCCATAACCCTATATTTTCTATAAGACCACATGGTCATCCTAAGCAATGAGTACACAACCTCTTCCTGTCAGGGTTGGGCATGCTTGCAACAAGGAAAGTCCCAGAAACCTAGTTGATAGCAAAGCTGGGGGACATGCCCATGCCAGCACATGGTCTTATGTACATGGTAGAGATGGTACTAGTTGACTAACTAATAACTGGTAGTATCGAATCAAAGAAGATAGGTCATGTGGCATCATAACTGACAGCTGCAGACTGGATCAAACTGGAGATGAAGAAGTGAAAAAGAAGTAAAAGCTGATGGGAATACAGGTCATGTGGTAATGTGCTACTTATGCTGCTGACCCAAAGACATGTCCTGACACTTCCACATCGAGTGATAGGGCTTCCTGGTGCAGACCATCAGCTGGCCACTTGAGCACAGTACACCACAGGTCCTGGAGGCACACCAGCAGTACAGATTTCAGTACAGGTGCTAAGTGGAAGGGATACTGGACATTGACTACTGAGGGGGGGATCCAGAGAAACGAAATATCTGATGGAGGCCATGGAAGAGACTCGACAGCATCAGAATCGAATAGAGTGGCAGGAGGGAGGGAACTGTATGTCACATGGTTTGGCACATCATTGAGTGGAATTTGTGGGAGGGAAAATTCGAGAAAGGAGGTCAAGGACAGTTGGGGGTCTGGCAAAAGGGTTCCAATGAGAAATGGTGGAACATCAAAGTTGCATGGTTTTGCTGTGAGTGCTTCAATATGACTAGCAAGCATGAAGGGATCCATGGACACCTACCTCCCCTAGACACTTTCCAGCCTATTTATCCATTGAAACATGATCCTCCACCCTAGGCTTGGCTGGTAGACACTGTGCCATCATGCCAAAGAAAGTATAAGTGATGGTGTAATGGGTCTATCAATCTAGACTCGCAACTCAGGTCTGGGGGGTAGGTGTCTCTCTCTGTGTCAGATAGAAGTGGTGGGTCCTGCAAGTATGGTGCTGATACTCTAACAAACTATGTCTCTCCTGTCTGTACAGTTGTCTGGCAGTAGCCGATACAAATATAAAAGGAAAGTCACATGCATGAATGAATGAAAATAGTAAAGAAAATAAAGAAAATGAATATCTCCTCAACCATCCACCCAAATCCAACGATCTTGGACTCATCAGAACCACATCCACAGTCTCTACAACTCCTACTATTACCATGACTCACCAATCCTAGTCCCTGATGCAGTAGGGGGTGAAGTGTGCAATAAATGTTGGTTTGGCCTGCATGGACTTGTCCCCACAACAACAGCAATGTTGAACTTCGAGCAGTGAACGTCACACAATGGGCCAAGAGATGAACCAGGGAAGTCGGAGCTGGCAATCCCTGAAAACTGTGGGAATGAACCTATGGTTGTAATGGGACAGTATACAAGAGTATAGTGAGTGGGTTTGTCCCTTGCTCTTGTTATTGACTAGGTTACTGGGACCACTGTTAGTGCAGACTGATGTGTGTTCCCTGACACACCATACCCATTGTCAAGGCCAAAACCAAATCTGAGCCTCACCCTTTAAAGTGTCAGGGCACACCCCACCTGACCCCACTCTGCCACCCCCCACTCTGCCACCCCCCACTCTGCCACCCCCCACTCTGCCACCCCCCACTCTGCCACCCCCCACTCTGCCACCCCCCACTCTGCACCACACCACACCTTCCTTTCCTCTCTTTCTTCCCTTCTGTCTACATACCTTTCTCATTGTTCAATGTATCACCAGCACATACACTGTAAGCATGCTAGGGATGTAACCCAGCAGCAAACAAGAAAAGAAAAAGGGGGCAAAGAAAATCTTACTACTGGTAAGGCTGCACATGGTCCCAGTGCAAGTGCACGATACTAATAAATTCTCTTAAACTCAGAACTCACCCTGGTCCTTCTTGGACAGTCGTCAGGGAGTCAAACTAAGCTCTGTAAACATGTGGAAGGGTCGCTCAACACCACAGTCCTTGTAGCACAGAAGAGGGGTCCAACAACTGTAAGTACAACACAGACTGGGTGTATATATAGAAAAAAGAGAAATCAGAACAAAAAAAGCCGATGGATGGTGTCAATGGAAACAGGAAGAATGTTGAGAACTCGGCTAAGAAACAATAAGGCAAAAAAAAGTGTCCACAAGGTAACAATAAAATCAATAATTGAGGCCCATAAGGTCAATATCAACCATTAATCTCGCTTCTCCACCGCGTATCTGTCTCCCTAACTCCCATCCCGTCATTCTATCCTCTTCTCCCGACCCGTCGCTGTCCTTCAAGCCCAAAATCGTGTGAATTGGTGGAAAATTGGTGGAGATATGGGGGAAATGGTGGATATCTGTGAATTTTGGGGAAGTGGCAATATGAGTCTTGAGAAAAAAGCATGGAAAAAATTGGAAAAAATGTGGAAATGTGCCGTGGGCATTGTGAATGTGTCGGAGGCTTGAGGGTGCTCGTTGGAGCCTCGAAAAACGTGGTTCTGGTCTTGTTTGTGTGGTACTTGCTGTGCCCTCCTACAACACCACATCCTCCTTTTGTATCTACCATTCTTATATTGCTGTTATAGAGCATGCATAATTGTCTGGAAGTGGAGGGACTCAGTAAGGAGGGACCTTGGCCTCAGCAACTCAAGTGGAGTGCTGTGCCGCTGCTTGGTTGTCTAAGGTGGTCCTTAATTTCAGGTTAGCAAGGGGGTGTCATATCCGTACATACCTGATCCCGATCTGACTCCCGGACCCTCCACTTCACCACCTCCAGAGTCCTACCCTACCCCCATCCACTCCAATATCCACCTTTGGGCCAAACACCACACCACTGTCAGGGCACACACCCTGACTAGCCCAGACCCGGACCCGCGTCCGGACCCACACCTGGACCTGCATGTGCGCCTCCGCCCTGCACGCTCCGCGTGCCGCATGCTCCGGGCCCAGTTCCTACCCCTCATGTGACTTCCGGGTATCCCCGGAAGTTTTCGCCATATTGGGGCCACTGTGGGAAAGTGAGAAGTTAACCTTCTTCTCACTTTCTTACCCACAGTAGGTTATGCCTTAGGATAGGCTGTTTACACACAGGGCTGTGGGCTATAGAGAGAGGGGTCATGGGGACCCGGGGTCCGTCCCCTGACAACCACTTCCCCTTCCATCCCTCTCCTACCCTACCTCCATCCGCTCCGATACCCACCTTCGGACGTGACCCCGCTCCTCTCTCCACTCCTTACTGCTCTCATCACTCTCCTCCCTCCGACCCTCTTCTGCCAAACCACCACCAAGTTACGACCTTCCGCTGCAGTCCCATACCTCATACTCAGACACTGCCCGTACCTTCGCTCCAAGACTCCATCATGGTCCTGACCTCGGACTTTGACTCCACCTTGGCTTAAGTCCATTGCATTGGTGACCTCATTCTACATAAACACCAATGCCAACATTCCTTGGACTTCCAACCCTGCCTCCACAACCTCCATAAGCTCCGCAACCTCTGAGCTCCATGGACCATACTTGGCACTTTTGCCACTTGTAATGTATCTTTCACACTTTCCCCTCATCCCTATTTGGACTACTGCTTCCTCCCATTTTAGCCAGTTAGTCATCATCCCCACTTCACCTCATCCTCCTGCCCCTCTGGGCTTCACCCTCCCTATCTCCTTTCAGATGTACCACAGAGTCTAACCCATGACCTTCAGTACCACTCTGCTCCCATCATCCCCTTTGTCTCCATTCAGACACCTTTGTTCCGATTCGGACCCTCTTTAATTTCCTTGTGCTTTCATCTCTCTACTATATACAGGCACTTGTACATACTCGTTTTGGACCTTCAGTCTAAAATCAACCAGAAATGCCCCCTAGAGACTTCCTGCTCACTGCTTCTGAAATTAAGGACCTGTCAGGGCATACCCCACCTGACCCCAAACTGCATCCCATGCCGCTCTGCCCTACTCCGCTCCCCTGCTACCACTCCCCACTCCCCCTCCTTCCCTTTTCTTCTTCCCTCTATTTCTGTTCCATGGTCAACGTCCTTCTTCTCTATGTATCACTACACATCTTAGGCCACTCCCCCAATTGCTGCACCTGCTGTGTGCATCCCCCATCCACACAGCGGCACACCTCCAGGATCTCCTGCAGAGACACCCAGAGAAGTGTGGCTGTGTGCGGAGATGACATGGCTCCCCTCACGTGACCTTGACCGCCTGTATATAATAGCACCTGGGGTGGGAACAGAAGAAGCAGCCTTCTTCTCAATTTCCCACTTCAGGTAAGTACTGTAGAACTCCACTTTAATGATAACTCAATTTCCCACTTCAGACTAAGTGGTTGGGGATGCTCACCCCATGACGGGATCGCCGCTATGCACAGCTGACACCTGTCCCATTGAGTCCCTCGTGCCGGGACTTTGCCGCTTTCAGAGCTGTCCCTGACAGGACCAAATGGACAAACAGCAGTGGCACAGTGCTCTGCATGAGTCGCTGAGGCCAAGGTCCCTCCTTGCTAAGTCTCCAGTTCCCCTCCAGAATCATCCCCCCTTGCCCAGTTTTAACAGGGGGAGCCTTTTGGGGGGACAATCCAGTCAATTCTGGTTCTCTAGTCGTTGACTCTAGTTGTCAATTTCAGACTAGGGGTACAGGAAACTAAGTACAGAGTGTACATATATATAATACAGGAGTGGAGTCAGAAACCCAAAGGGAACAAAGGGAACTGGAAGGAGACAAAGGGGGACTGGATGAGGGAACAACCCCAAGGGTCAAGGGTTGGAACTCTATGGTGCTTCCCAAAAGGGCAAGGCCAAGAGGGGAAGGAGTGGAGTGGGTTGTGGGGAATGACAGCTGACTAATATGGAAAGGAAGCAGCTGTCTAAATAAGGAAGAAGCAACAAGAGGATTAAATGACACCATACAGTAGAGACTGCAGGGTCCGGAGTCGGGAGTCAAAGTCCGGAATATTGGCTAGACATAATAAATGAAATGCAATAAAGAATACAAGGAGATAAGACAGAGGAGGAGGTCAAAGTCTGGGGATGGAGATGTGACCGGAATTCCGGAGGTGGAGGTGCAATGGGGTTATGGTACAGGAGTCCGGAGCCGGAGGTGTGGAGCATCACAAGCTCTAGTCTGGAAGGTATGGGGTTGGGATTGGACTTGGAGTACACCGGAGTCAGACCGGAGGTAGTGTTGGACGTTGTGTTGGAGCCAGAGGTAGAGTGGGCTCTCAACAACCAACAGGGGGAGGAGGAGGTGGAGGATGTGGAGTTCTGGAGGAGGAGATGGAGGTCCAGAAACAGGAGCGGAGGTCCGGAGTTGTATGGATATGACAGCCACTGCCCTTTGCAGTCCCACTTAAGTCCCCCACTATGGAGGCACAAGTTATGGTGATGCAATAGCTTGAATTCACAGTCGGTAGCTAAGTTGATGGCATGATGTGGTGGGGTTGACTGCAACAATGGCACTGATAGCGATGGAGAGACTAATTCAGTGAAGGATCTGTACAGTTATCCAAATGGACTATACTAAGCCTGAGTTTGGGATTTGAGTTTGGACTACTCTAAAGTACAGCTTTGGCCTTCAGAGGCCTGTTTTCGAATTTAGCTAAACTGACAGTTTAGAACCAGTTCTGTCCAGTTTAGGTGCAGTTAAGGATTGGCAGTTTTGATGCAGTTTAGCCCATCATGAAACCCCCTAATGGAGCATACCGGTAGTGTGGAATACTGGGACTCCCAAAGGGAGTCATCCAGTTGGTGGCTATCAGTGACTTGGCACTTGTTAGAATAGGGGCGGAAACGGACGACTCCGGAGTGGAATCGGAGACTTAGCGTGGAGGGACCTTGGCCTCAGCGACTCAAGCGGAGCGCTGTGCCATTGCTGTTTGTCCATTTTGGTCCTTAATTTCACAGTAGGTGAGCAGGAAGTCTCTTGGGGGCATTTCAGGTCGATTTCGGACTGAAACCAGACGAGTATGTACAAGTGCCGATATATATAAAGAAGGGGCAAAAGCACAAGGAGAACAATGGGTAGAGGGAGCGGAGCGGTACCGAAGGTCATAGGGCAAGACCTGTGATACGTCCGAAAGGAGGTAGAGGGGGCGAGGCCCAGAGGGGCAGGAGGATGAGGGGAAGTGGGGGTGATGACTAACTGGCTAGAATAGAAGGAAGCAGTAGTCCAAATAGGGATGAGGGGGAATTGCGAGAAATACATTACAAAACGGCGAGAGTGCTGGAGGCGGTCCGCGAAGCTTGGGGGTTGCGGAGCTTACGGAGGTTACGGAGGCGGGGTTGGAAGTCCGAGGAATATTGGCAATGGTGTTTACGTAGTATGAGGTCACCAATGCAATGGACTAAGGCCAAGGTGGAGTCAAAGTCCGAGGTAGGGACTATGACGGAGGCTCGGAGTAAGGTACAAGCGGTGTCCGAGTGCAAAGTATGGGACAGCGGTGGAAGGTCGTAACTTGGCGGAAGGGTGGCGGAGGAGTAACGGAGGGAGGAGAGAGGGGACAGGTAAGGGGAGAAGGAGTGGCAGAAAGGAGAGTAGTCAGGTCCGAAGGTGAGTATCGGAGCGGATGGGGGAAGCGTAGGAGGGTGGCGGGAGGGTGGAGGTGTTGTGAAGGGGGAGCGGAGTAGTAGGAGGGTGGTGAGTGGGGCGATGTTCGGTCCGGGATGAATATCGGAGCGGACGGAGATAGGGTTGGAGAGGTAAGGGGGAGGTGTGTTTTCCAGGACCGAAGGTGAGTATCGGAACGGCAACGGTAGGTTATGACTCCGGAGGTGAAGAGGGTGGAGGTCCGGAAGTCGGGTCGGGGTCGGGTATGCACGGATATGACAGCACTCATGGGAGTGTACCAGTAGTGGGAGTTGTTGGGGAAAGCGGGCTGGTTGATGTCAGAGACCAGATTCGAGACGAGGGAGAGTCTCTGTGATGGAGGGCTTTGGCCTCAGCGACTTCTGCCAAGAGCGCTGTGCCTAGTGACACGTCCGTGCCCTAACTTACTGACTGGCAATCAGAACCGAAGGGGGGGTAACTCTAGTTGATTTTATTACTGGGGTGTAACTTATGTACAAGTGGGATATATATATGGTTACAGCGAAGACGGGTCCGCAATTGGCGGAGCCAAACGGAGCGGAGCTAACGGGGTTTAA